ACTACTTGGACTACCAAAGCGGTCAGAATCCTACGTCATCCCAACCAGACAAACAAGAGACGAACACACATCGGATCGCTAATGCATCACTGTCATGATCCATAAGTCGAAAACCGGCGGATGTTTGGGTTAGGCTGTAATGTCACACACCTCAGAAATCATAAGCCCCAAGCTCCTCGCGTGGGCTACCAGCTCTGAGAACCTTTGTACCTTACGTAGGGACCCGAACCAAGGAGCCAGAAAGGCAAGATGGCAATTGTAACTACACTGTAGTATAGGAGATGGTCCACATTACAAAATTACAAAAGGCAAGCTGAACGCCGATGGCAAACTAACACCTCCCTGATTTTCCAGTTGAAGCTTGTACCATCTGCAAATGCTGACGATGCCATTGGTGACTGCTCTCCAATCCACAACCGGTGCTGGCAACATTGAAGCAGCATGGCAAAAACTCATTCCAGACAGAATGGACACGAAGACTCCATGAATGGTTCACCCCGTCCCCCTGTTCCAGCGAACCCAACGCTAGCATGAAATCCACAACCAACCCATCTCCTTTCTAACACCCTCTAAGCGATCGATGTATCATGTAGAGGTGGGTGAGAACCACAAGAAGAAGGTCCCGCAACTCCTCTGTGGGCCATATCCTGCCCTTCTCCTCAGATTCAAGCCCTTCTCCTCAGATTCAAGCCCTTCTCCTCAGATTCAAGGATCTCCAGAAAGCGAAGTCCCGGCTGCCACTGACCTGAGGGGTCGCGGCAGGCAGCTTCTCTGGCGCTGCTGGCAGCTGCCAGCCGACCGATGCTCGGCGCGTTGGGCGTCCCGCCAGGCACCAGCTGCCAGTGCACGGCTTGGAGGTATCGAACGGGGGTGATAAAGAGATACACCTCTGTGAGCAGACGCGCTGAGCTGGCAAGGCCCAAATTGAAGGCCACACCATTAATCGCCGATAAGCCTTCAGCCTGAAAGGTACTCCTGGCCATTTTCAGCTTGGCGCCCATGGCCACGAGGTTGGCCATGTACGTAAGGATCCCAGCCGGTCCCAGGTGCCCGCAGGCGCAGCAGCGACTGCGATTTCATTGTCGTCAGTGCCCTGACAGGGAAAGCAGGGCAGTCCCTGCACCCGCAGCAGAGCCGTATGGGGAACTCGACAGACATTGTCCGCAAATCGCATTAGGGAACTCCGCGTGTGAGGAGAAGGAGAGAGGAGGAGCCAACGTGCCCACTCCTCCCTAAGCTCGATTTCCGGAGAAGCGGTACCGCTGTCCAGGCGCAGTTCGCCTTGCACCGTATCCGCCAGGCACTGGTATGTCCGCACCCCGAAGAGGTCCTAGGCGGGTGACATCAATCAGCCTGCTCGTTGCCTGTGCGACCTGAAGTGGCTGGATCAGCGGCAACCCGGCATGGGCCACGCCGCGCATGCCGCTTTTGCAACAGCCGGTCGATGGTGACGTACTGAATTTCGTTGCCGCCGCCGCCAATGGGCTGCTTGGCGTCACCTGTGCGGATAAGGAGCACGTCCTCTGCCGCCTCGGTAACATTGACAGACTCGGTGTGCCCTTCTTGCTGCCCTTCATCAAAACAAGGGTGCGACAGCGGGTGAGGGCAGTCAGGACCTTTTTTTGGCGTGGGCGGGCCTCAAAGACAGCAGTATATATAGGTATGGAACCACTTATGGTAACCTTTTCCAAAAACGCAAAATAATGCCACTACAGCCGCTTTTGCCGCATGGTCACTACGGAGTCACTACAATGTCACTACGAAGCAATCGAAATTGTCTTGAAACAATTCAATAATAACTCTATAATGATTCATAAAGACTCGATAATGATTCAACAATGACTTAACAATGCAACAATAATGAAGCAACAATGCTACAAAGATGACTGAAGACTTTGCAAAGACTCCGCAAAGACTGCAGTTTTATCGCGAAAGACTCCACAAAGACTGAGTGTGTGTGTCCGAGTCTTTACGTGGTCACTACACTGTCACTACGGCCACTACGCCGTACACTACGCGGTCACTACGGTCACTACGTGGTCACTACGGTCACTACGCGGTCACTACGGTCACTACGGCCACTACGCGGTCACTACGGTCACTACGCGGTCACTATGCGGTCACTACGCGGTCACTACGGTCACTATGCGGTCAGTACACGGTCACTACGCGGTCACTACGGTCAGCGCGATTGCAGTTTTGATTTTCTACGCGATGCAGTTTTAATTTGAAGAATGCTGTAAGCTTCATTCGGCACTTTGCGGTCACTCGCGGAAACTCGCGGAAACTTCGCGGTTACTACGCGGTTACTACGCGCTACGCGATTGCAGTTATCATTTTTCGACGCGATTGCAGTATGAGTTTTATTTAGAATGCTGCAAGTCGTGTCGTCTTCTGTTACTACGCCAGGCAATGCTCTTTCATTTCGAGTTTCGTAGATCGTCAAAGCAATGGAACGGGAAAGCCGAGTTCCATCAGTTCCGCGACGTGAGATTCATGAGCATGTTTGTATGCTTGAGGCGTATATGCTGCAAGAGCCCACATGTTTCCGCGATGCTTTTCAAGCATGTGATATTTCCGAGCATTGAACGAAACGGGTTTGTCATGCATGTCAACCCATGTTCCGCACAGCAGCTTCTGACCGCTTTTCGTTTTCAGCAATGCAGTTGCTTGTCCGTTTTCATCTTCGATCCAGACTCAACCTTCCATGAAATTACCCAAAGTGATAGCGTGGTTCGCATGCCCAATCATGTTCAGGATGTCTCGATGCAACGGCATTGACGGATTGTACAGCACAGCGATGGAAGTCCATGTTTGATTCGGAAAGCGCTCTCTGAGAAAATGGTTGACGGCAATGCACGCTTTTTTCATTTGAGAAGCTCTCGAAATGCCAAAGACACCGCCGTGTCCAAAGAAGCCGAGAGTGCTGTATTTTTCATAAGCATGCGGACCGATGGCTCGAGTGCGGCCACGATGCTTCCAGCGCGTTGACCAGTTGTCGAGCAGTGCGACTAAGTTATGTTCGGATGCACGGTTCATGACAGCCTCGCATGCGAAGTCGAGCTCGGCGTCGTCTTCTTTGCGAGACATGTTTGTTTAGATTGCAACATCAGTCCGAGTCGCCCTTGCGCCCCTTCTTCTTCTCTAGCTTCTCGATCCGCTTCTGCAGGCGCTTGCAGGTCTGCCACAGCACCGCCGTCATCCGCTGGTAGTCCAGGGTCATGAGCTCCCGGTCGTCGAAGTTCCGGAGCTTGCAGAAGCTCTTGCCCAGCCGGCCCGACGCGTCCACCTCCTGGGCCACGAAGCCCACCTGGTCGGCGGCGCCGTCGATCCGGTCGTAGCTCCGGGCCTCCACGCCGTCGAAGAGCTCCTGCGCCTCATCCTCCGACACCGGCCGGACGTTCGTCTTGAGCCTCTCGTCCGAGAGGTTCTGGAAGCCGTAGAAGCAGATCACCTCACCGTTGTTGGAGCCCCCGGTGTTCGGCTCAATGACCAGGTTCGCCGTGCCCCCGGTGGTGTTCAGCGCGACGGTCTGGTCCGACGCGTTGAGCTGCACGCCGCCGTTGGCCAGCGCCACCAGCTCCCCCTTGCCTCCGCTGATCGAGTCGTTCTGGGTGGTCAGGTAGAGCCGCGCCACGCCCGTCGGGGCCTGGTTGATGACCGCCAGCTCGCAGAAGCCGCCCGGCGCCCCGAGGCCCGTCACCTCGGCGTAGGCCGAGTTCACCTACACCCCCGAGCTGCCGCCGGAGAAGTAGAGGTACGGCAGGCTGGGCCGCACCACCACTTCGGGACGCGCGGCGAGCTTCTCCAATGTATGGCTCGTAGTGACAGGCACAAACGCTCACAAGCATCCGTTCTTTCCCCGCACCTGCAGGCTCACTCTCCCTCGGCCGGATTCCACTTGTTCTATTTTGGCGTCCTCAGTCTGCCCATCTGCGGCTGCGGCCAAAACCTTGCGGGTCGAGCCAAGGCGTCAGGCCAGGTCAACTGCTGTATAGCCCTGTGGACTTTAAGCCGTGCCTTCGCCGCAGATGTGAGGTGCGCGTCGGACGGACCACTGAAACCGAAGAGCTTGGTAGCCTGCCAATTCAGCACCTGGCTTGAAATCGTGCTGCTGCGTTCAGCAACTCGCCTTCCAAAGGCACATTTCGACAGTCAGGCAAACACGCTGGAGGGTCCGTCTGGGCTGCACTGCTGTCCAGAAGGCTAACGAAGGCTGACGGTGCCACTGGAAGATCGTCCTGCAAACTGCTAATGCAGAGGTACAGTAGTAGCCCTTTCAATGACACAACATGCTCTGCCTCTTCGGTCACAGCAGCCCCCTTGACAGCAAGCCCCAGGTTGCTCTGTGGCAGCTCTATACCAGGGAGATGCTTCACACCGCTGTAGAAACCTCGGATTCTTGCGCTGCGGATCAGATGTGCCTGTGTCGCGTGCAAGTCGCGTGGAACACAGCTCACGGCTCCCCGAAGCACCTTACGATGCAGCGTCTCCAGGTGTGTAGATGTCGGCACGGCAATGTCCTTGAAGCATTTCTACGGAGTGCTGGCTACTCCATCTCAGATCTCTCCCCGGCCAGGGACTGTGCTTCAGCTCAACTGCTATGACCGATCTGGATACAGCAAGTAGACGACGGACTCTGGCTACATCAGCATGCAGCATGCACATTGAGTGTATTTGGTTGTTTCGAGTTCAACTGCAGATACTGCTGAGAACAGGTCCACATCATACTCTGTGAAGAAGGGCTTACCTCACAATCGGACACTGCAGGATTTTGGAGTGCCTTCGAGCAGACACTATACAGCATTGACCATTGCTGCCCCGAACATTCTGGGGAGCCAGCCCAAGATACCATGCACCTCAATCCCGAGCTGTTCTGCCAGCCACCGGCCACTTTGAGGTAGCCCGGCGCTTTGAGGTACCCTGGCTCACAGCATCGCAACAGTCCGAGCCAAGCCACTTGCACTTCATCAGTGCCTATACCATCGTCTGCTGAGCTCAGTGCCTGCAATAGCCCAACAATCTCGTGAGCCGTCAACCTTGATTCCTCAGCGTGCTTGCTCTTGTGGCCTCTACGGCTTCAATCACCTCGCCTGCGCTGAGCGCCTCAGAACACCAACACTGCACCGCGAAGACTCACGCGCTCGGCAAGCTTCTCAGCTTTGGCACCTGCAGGCTCCGCATTCGTGTCTGGCTCCTTGTGCCAAACAGTCAGCTTGGCTGGTCCTGGTCATGCAGAAGGCAGAAGGCATGTCTGTCCGAGTCTGCTACTTGTAGCAAGCTGTTTTGGAAAGTTGAACTCGCTTGACTCTTAGCGATCAGTCAAAATCATCCAGAACTAGCCCGTTTTTGTTGAAAAACGCTAAATGCTGTCATGCGATCACTCCAAGGTCTGACGACTTGTGATACCGTCACTAGCCCGGCCTTTCTCCGTCGAATCTTTGTCAGCGAGCGGCACCCCAGCATCTAAGTCCGCGGTTTTTTGCGAGGATCAAGGCGACCTGGAAACAGAATGCCCAGAGACTCCAATATCCCTTGATTAAGGAATATACCGTAAATCATATTAGGGTTCCTATTATCATTTAAGGGAAATCCCTTAATTGAGGAATATACCTTAAATCATATTAGGGATCCTATTATACTGTATGGTATATTCCGTAATTCAGGGATATTGGAGTCTCTGAATGTGTGCATACGGCTGCCTTCCGCTGTAGTACGTCGAAGTCAGATGCTCCAGTCCACAGAAATGATAGTAAGACGTGCACTTTCCGGAGAGCAGCGCTGATGCCCCTGCGACACAGCACATGGCGCATCATGCCGCGTCATGCCGCATGGCTGCAACAATCATGACCCGCACAGCACAAGTTTGCCTAGCCGGCCAAGCCGAGATGGTCCATCGTTCAGCCTGGTTTTCAGGTGCACACAAGTTGCCAGGCCTTTGGATCGTAGGAAGCGCATGCCATGATGCAAACCGACCTGGTCGTGAACAGAGCGCAAGTTGGCACGCAGACCAGGAGGCAGTCGCCTTGCAACTTGCCAGCCATCGGAACGACCAAGCCAGACTCGGGCACTAGCTGAAGCAGTGGCGAAGGCAAGGCTCCGAAGGACCTAGCCAGGCCAGCACAGAGATATGCAACTGGTGGCAGATCCGTTGCAGAGTAGCTGAGAAAGACGCACGACGACGAGGCTTCCGCTTTGCCTGGATTTTGCTTTGGTGAGTTGCGCTTGTAGAGGGATGCTCTCTCTGGGCTCTACGGCCGTGCACCCATGTGGGAGTTTCCGAAAATAAGGGACCCTAATATAGTACCCCAAATAGTAGGATCCTGATTATAAGGACCCAAAATAAGGTACCCTAATTTTCGGAAACTCCCATGATGCATCCCCTGACAAAGCTATCGGCACCGAGCTGCCCGGTGCGCCGAGTTCAGGTCGGCCCTCCGGCTCCATGCCACAAACTGTCGGAACACTTCCGTGTAGACTCGTGTGCGACTCGCTTGCATGCTCTATGTAAGGAAACTTCCCGAGTTCATTACTGGGAATGGTTGACGACAGAGTTGCGGCGGTCTACTATCGTGGGCTCATCTTGATCTGGTCTCATAAGAGAATTGTAAATGCAACTCGCGCACAGCCTTCACGAAGATGCCATAGAGATGTGCCCGGAAATACGAGAAATGACAGTTCATACGTTTCGCTCCTTTCTTGATGACTGAGTGAATCCAAGAAGGCCCACAGCACTGAATGTTACCCAGCCACTCTTGCACAGCTTCCTAGAAAGCAGCCGTGGACATGAGCCACCTAGCGATGGAGCCAATTGGCTTGCAGGGTCCTGTCATCCACCTCTGCTCGGCACTCGGCACCTAAATTCAGCCTTGTACATGCTGCCACGGCCGCCTCGCATTTCTTCGCATGTTCTCGAACACACTAAACAGGTCTGCAGCAGCTCCAACGAGTTTACTCGCGTCAATGCTGCGACGTTTTGACGCAAAAGTCGCGTGGTTCGTGCCACACTTCTCGACAACTTCGTACCTTCGGTACCGGACATCGAGCTTTGCCCAACATCCAATTTGACACTTCTCCTCATACCGTAATCAAACGAGGCAGGGCTTTTCAGCTCTGCGGACTGCACAGCAGCGCAGGGGTAAAAAGGGATTAAGATTAGGGTTTTTTTAAGTGCAGTGGGTTTAGGGTTTAGGGTTTAGGGAAGTGAAGCTTCGGCTCGGACTGTTCAAACTCCTGGGCTGACGCTTGTTTCACATAGTTCCCTTCGAGCTGCGCAAGATCCCTTAATTAAGGAATATACCTTAAATTATAATAAGATCCCTAATATGATTTAAGGTATATTCCTTAATTAAGGGATATTGGAGTCTCTGGGTTCCCTTCGAGCTGCGCAAGATCCATGAAAGCCTTCACACCTCGCCATAGCAGGCTTGAAAATGATTTAAACTCTAGTCCTATAATCAAGGTGTATTTGAGGCTCTCGGGATAAAAGTGCCGGAACAATTCGCATCACAAAATTGGACGTGTTGAGTCATTGCCTGTCAGAGTTTTTTTGCTCACCTGGTGTAGGAGTACGAGTAGTAGCCCTTCCCTGCCCTGTTGCCCTTGCAGTATAAGTTGAAGTCCTTGCAGGCGGCTTGGCGTCGCAGCATCCAACTCCGGCACTTCACGAACAAGGTCTTGCAGGACACTCCTGGGGTTGTAGGTCACATAGAACATTATATCTCTGACTGACTAGGTGACTCTGCAAGACCGTGAGCGAAATTAAAGAAGCAGGTCTCCCAAACTGCCACCTCAACCAAACTTGTAATCCCCCAAGTCCTACCTAAAAACCTCCAACATCCCCATCAAACCTTACACCCCCAGCCAGTGCCAGCTAGATTCTTGGTCCACTTGGTCCACTTGGTTCTTCGGTCGTTGAAGGTCCACTTGGTTCTTCGGTCGTTGACGGTCCACTTGGTTCTTCGGTCGTTGACGGCTCCGGCTCAGGAACCTCCTCTGCTGAGGTGCCCGTCACCTCGACGCTGTCGCTGACGATCTGATTGCCTGACAGCTTGGGCTTAGGGTGCAAGGTCATGCAGGGGGGTCCGTCTATAGTCTATACAAGGTCCTGCAGTACTTGTGTCTCCGTGCATCTGGTGAGTTTTGGGGTTTAGGGTTTAGGGGTGACACTTCTGCATCGGCAGCCCTCTTTAACCAGACCCTGGTCCGGCCTGCCAAGGACGTGGAAATCCCTACCGCCAGGTCAACACTGTCCGCATTTTGGACGTTGCCGGCAATCGTGGCGGGATCATAAACGGAGAGGTTGGCTTGCGGAATGCTTATCAAGTATTCTGCTTGCAACGAGTCCTCCCGCCCTTCCTTCACCATCTTACCCTGTAAGAGGACCAAGCCGCAAGTAAGTTCGACACTGATCCACGAAGTTGGAAGCCGAAAGTGCTTGCCCACGCCTTCAGCAATAGCATAAGAGGCATTTGGCTCGGCAATGATTTCGGAGCAGTTCGCCAACACCATCGACACAACGCCAGTGATGAGGGTTGGACCGGACTGACTATCCTGACACGTGCTCGAACTGGATGTGCAAACTTGGCCACTTGTGCATGTAGCATTTCCGCAAAGGCATGGATAGCTGACGCTGGAAGCGCTCCCGTCAGCGATGCTGCAATTTGCGGCCTTCGCACCCTTCCCACAGGCAGCACAATTTCTGCCTGGGAAGTTGTAAAACTCCGCACAGTTGCCGTCTTGCTGGAAAGAGCTGCTTTTTTGGCAGGCCTGTGGCACTGTCGACTGGTCCAGGTACTGTTCTTTGCCTGTCCATTCAAAGCCAGCGGCGAAGCCACCGTCATTACACCATCCTTTGGACACGTAGCTGGCACAAGACTCGCCGAAATTATTCTGCCAGAACTGAGAATCGCCAATTTCGAGCCTCAGGCTGCCGTCACTGAAACCTGAGATCTTGTCAGGGCAGGTACCGTCATGACAGGGCAGTTACCGTAATGACAAAAGCATCTGAGGTATCATGATTATCATAGATCTTGAGTCTGCTGCAGTACAGTAGGTTCCTCAATAAGAGCCCAGACGCTCTCCTCGCAACGCATCCTCCAGGACAACTCTCCCGTGGGTGGCCCGGCAGGGTCTGTACTTGCGGACGCAATTGCAGCGACAAATTCACAAGCTCCGTCGTCGTCGAGATCTGATGATCTCGTCGTGTTCGGTAAATCCGTGCCAATCAACCACTTTGCTTGTGTGCCGAGTCCATCGCAATCCGGGTCGAAATAAAGGAAGTATCCGTCATCATTGGTGTAGAACGATGCGCCACTGGAAGTGGCGCCAGAGCTCACATAGATGCCATCCACACCTAGTTCACAGTGGCCACTGATGATGACGGTATCGACAGTCTGGGCTGGTGCTTCATCAGGAGCTTCCGATGATGTTGATTCTGAACCGTTCGAAATATTGGCTGCCAGTATCAAATCACTCACAAGTCCTATCTCAGCAGGCACAGCCTCTGCCAGCGATGTGGTCGGGATTCCGAATGCTGAAAAGCCGCACAGCGACAATGCCTTGGTGCCTCTGTGCTGAATCTGGATGATGGACCCAGTCGCACGGCACGCAAAGGTCGTAGGGACTCCTCGACCAAAGACGCTTACGGCAGTTGCACAAGTGGTGAAGCTACTGCTCCCAGCATTGCCGACAAGAATGTCGACATTCTTCAACTCATCCTCGCAGCAGTCGTTACGACTGAGGAGTTGCACGCTGGTAAACCGATATCTCTTACCCCGGAAGTCCACCTTGTACCATGAGCCCGCCTCCACGTTGGTCTGGATGCAAGTACCCGGCCACTGTGGGTTTTTCGTTGAGACGAGTGGGTAGAAAGCTGCCCCCGGCTGAAAAAAGAAATTCGTAGCCCCTGTCGACAAGGCATTGGAACTTGCAGAGGCGATAGCTGCTGACAGGACATTGATGGCCTCGGAAGTTGTGCAAACGTGATGGTTGGAGTAAAGATAGACTCCGCCTCTGCCCCAACGAAGAGATCCTGGTCGATTCCAGCCCCTTATCCCTTTGTATGTTACCACGGAGGCCTTTTTTTTGATAGCACCCCGCCGGACCACCGGCGCTGCGAAGCTGGTCCCCCACACCATAACCTATCCCCAAAGCCTGCCTTGCCGATTCACACTCCTCCCTGCTTCTCATTCCGCGATCAGGTGCTGTACATGCTGTCTGCACATCCCACGCATAGGCATCCAAGGTCAAGTATGGCCCTTCGCAAAGATTGGCATCGGCATAGCATTTTTGGCCCTTGGTGCAGGTCGCCGATCCACAGGAGCACGGGTAGGCGTCCCCGTTTGTTTGAAACCCGGTCTTCCACTTGCACTCTCTGTAACCTCCACGGGAATTGACACCGTTCCAGCGTCTGCGCAAGGTGGCAGAGTGTCCCAGTGTGCATGATACGCTTCCAGTGCCAAGATCCCGGAACCAGTATTGGCAAGCATTCTCTGATCTGCATGCTTCGCAACACTTCTCGTCTATGTCGAAGTCGGTGCTGCCAGTCCTTGTCTGTTTCTGCGTGTGCTTCACCAACGACGCCACACCACCCAGGCCACCCCACACCACACCAAGAAACTAACTAACCTCGAAAAAAGCGTTTCGACTGGCAAGATAAGAGATGCAGGTCAAGCAAACCTGTAAGTGCTGGCAAGACTCACAGTCACCACTTTGAAGTCCGTCCCTTCGAGAGGAATCTCTGCTTCGTATTTGGCCAGACATTCCTGCGTTCCGCCACCACAGGCACAGCAGGCTTCGTTGGCCGTCGCTTCCAAAGGTCTCCCCGAATAGGTCGTCAGTCCAAAGCTCGCGCATCTGGCGGGCAATTGCGTGAACCATGAACACCGCCTGAAATCAGAGTTGAACCACGGAATATAGGGCTTGCTACTTTCGGGTCTCCTGTAGTCCAAGCAAGGCAAGCACACTGTGCCTTTCATCACATAGCCGGCATTGCAGGAGTCGCAAATCTCGCCTTTGTGAGCGTAACATGCAGCGCCCTCTGCCGGCACACCATTGGCACACGTGCATGTGTTTTGCACGCATTGTTTGTTGTGTGTCATGCGATGGCCGGCATCGCACGAAGAGCAAGTTTGCGACTTGTGGCTGCCACAGCGGGCTCCTGTTACAGCTGTACCGCCAGTACAATAGCACGTGTTCTGCATGCAATAGAAGCCGACCTTGCGGTAGCCTGGGTCGCAGGTTTCGCATCGCACGGCGGATGGTGCGGGGCAATTCGGTGGTAGAATGAAAGTACCATGATCGCACTGACAAATGTTTGGAACGCATTCACGAGTGTCACTCCTGAGGAAGTATCCAAAGTTGCACGATAGGCACGTGCCAAGGCCACAAACACCATTCGCGCACTCACAAGGAACAACTCTCTCGCAGACTCGTTCATGGTTGGGGGGAGCGTAAGTAATTCTTCCTCCGTAAAGGTCATTGTTGAAGACAATCTGATTGGACCTGATGATGCAACCATAATAGTTTGTACGGTCATGGTTTATCCCCCTCCAACCTGTCTGCACAAGGGGATTCAGAATTTCATATGCTGCTCGGCACCGCTCGAAGTCAACGATTTGAGACCATCCTTGTGACTGGTCGCACTGCCAGGCAATGATGAGCACACGGTCCTCGCGCATCTCGCGCCTCTTCGACTCGAGGTTCTGCTCTGCCAGCAAGAGGGCGGTCTGCCGACACACACACTTCCACTCGGGTGAGCACGGGCCTGTGTTGGTGCCAGCAGCATTGAACAACTTGAAGTTTCCTTTCGTCCTGTGGTAGCAACCTGGAGGACGCTGGGAGGCCCTCAGGCTACCCGCGGGATTGTTGTCATCTGTTGCCCCCCCAGGCCATTGCAGCCACTCAAGGGCGTCGGAGCACTCTTCAAGAGAAGTGACAGGATCGGCACAAGTGCCGGAAACCACGAACTCCCAGGACGGAGGAACCGTTGTCGACGTCGTGGGAGGGGGCGTTGTCGTGGTCGGAGCCGTCGTCGTGGTCGGAGCCGTCGTCGTGGTTCTGTTGTTTGGCTGGTACGTCCACCAGGATTGCACGTCATTGGTGTCGAAGCCGAAGTACATCTGCTTCATGACAGGATCCCAAACGGCATCCCCCATACCCTGGTCTCCATTAATCAGCATGGCCGGGACCGTGTCTGTCTGCGTCTCTTCCCATGTACCGTTGAGGTCAGGGATGGGGCGCCAGTGCCAAGCTCCCGTGTCAACAGGACGATAGGTATCCTCCTTGTAGCCGGAAGCAACCTTAGATACAGCCGCCTTCCCCCCATCTCAAGTTCGAGCGAGGAAAGCCGTCTAGATCCTGGCAGGAGGCTATCATGGAGCTGCCTGTCCAGACAGCCACGTGCTGACTGCGTTTTGAAGGAGGTGTGTTTGCAGGATTCAGCTCTTGCCATGTGTCGGTAGCCAGGTCGTAGGCATGGAGACGATTAGCAGCACCGACAACTCGGCCACCAAACACCTTGGAGCAGCAAACTCTAGCAGACTCGGCTGTGCTTCTTGTTCGCGCATGTTCTCGCACGTTCGCGCGGGCACGACCTGATGCGACCATTTGCGACGCTGAGCCCCAAGCAAGCACCATCCCCAGTTCGGGCGCGTAGACCATGGAGTGCGCGTAGAGGACGAAGCTGGAGCTACCGGGCCCAGCCGCGAGCGTCGCCCACGTACCGTTGTGCAGGAAGAATGCACGCAAGACATTTTCATCCGAAGTGAAGGAAGTTATGCCTCCAAAAACCAGCATGGCCATGCTGCCATCGATCGGGGCGACCGTCGCCGCATGCAATCGCGCGAATGGTGGGCCACTGCCAGAAGTCACGGTTTTGATGGACCATGTATATGTGCCGGAGTCCTTCTTTAGAAGCCAAACCTCGTTCGAAGTCGGACTTGCTGCTCCTGACATGGCTTCGGGGATCTGCACTCAGAGACTCAGGCACTCGCGCATGCTCGTGCAGGGTCCTCCGTAAATGAGACAGCCCGCGTCAAAGTCCGACCAAACCATGGTGTGCCTTGACCGTGGGCCTGGCGCTGGAAATGGCCAACCCTCTGCTGCTCCCGCATTTCGAGAACTCTTGGCCTGGACCAGAGACTGCGGGCGTCACATCTGTCCACACGCCAGTCATCGCATCGTACTCCCAAACGTCCTCCAGCACCGCGTTGCCTGGATCTTGCACCGTGCTTCTGCAACTTAGGTCGTTGGATGTCAGAGCTGGGCACCCGGCTGGCATCCTTTCCCCCGAAAAGCAGGATGGGCGCAGTCGTGTCTGCGGGGTTGCGGCACATCTTTGCCCACGTCCGCTTCGGAGGAAGGCCCGGACTCGACGACAAGTCGGTCCACTCAGGAATAGGTTCCTAGGCGTCCAGTCACACAAGCTCACAGACCCAAAACTCCATGCAGCCCAGCCGCCGGAGCCGTCGTCGTGGTCGGAGCCATTGTCGTGGTCGGAGCCGTCGTCGTGGTCGGAGCCGTCGTCGTGGTCGGAGCCGTCGTCGTGTTCGCATCGAGACATACGCACTGCCACTCGGCTGAGCATGGGCCTGTGTTGCCAGCAGCATTGAACAGCCTCACATCTCCTTCGGATCTGTGGTAACAGCCTGAGGGGCGCTCAAAAGTGGACGTGCTGTTCGCTTCAAGGTTGTCGCTGACTGTCGTAGTTCCGTTCGACAACAACGAATCAAGGGCGGAAGCGCAATCTGCAAGAGAAGTGACTGGCTCGGCACAAGTGCCCGAATCCACGAACTCCCAGCTCCGCCGACATACGCACTGCCACTCGGCTGAGCATGGGCCTGTGTTGCCAGCAGCATTGAACCTCCTCACATCTCCTTCGGATCTGTGGTAGCAGCCTGGCGGGCGATCAACAGTCACCGTGCTGTTCGCTTCAAGGCTATCGTCGACTGTCGCAGCTCCAAGTGGCAACAGCGAATCAAGGGCAATTTCGCACTCTTCAAGCGAAGTGACAGGGTTGGCGCAAATGCCAGAAGCCACGAAGCGCCAGGCAGCAGGACTCGGCAGAATCACAGGTGGCAGGAGGTCCACACTCTCGGAATCTGATATCGGCCCACTCCGTGGTGTCTGCCTGGTTGAACAAACAGGGGCATAGCTCTCGTTGTTCACTCCACCGGCCACAGAGTTGAACCAGACATCACCACTAGTGGAGGCGATGCAACCTTTTGCGGTACCACCCGGGTTGTCCGTCCGAAAGGTCAAGTTCAAGTCCAGAGCCGCCGCTTCACACTGTGCAAGAAGCAAGGAATCCAGTGGCCAACAATCACTCAGACCGTAGTCCCTCAGCAAGAAAGTCATGCACTCGTTCAAACTCGATGTGCAGATTTGGCTATTTGCGCATGTCACATTCCCACACTTGCACGGATAGGAGTCACTTGTTTTGCTCCCGTTGATGACACTGCACAGAACATCCTGGCATGCGTTTGCATTGCATACCTGCCCTGGCTGACACAGTGTTTTTCCGCACATGCATGGCAAGACTGAGCTTGGTCTGCCGTCGTTCGCGGTGCATGGCTGTTCAACGTCACAAATGAGACCAAGGCTTTCACCGTTCACTCCACTGCTTGCCTGGTTGAACCACACGTCGGAGTTTGTGGAGACGACGCAACCCGGCGCCCGTCCATCAAAGAACCCTTCCTTTCGATAGGTCAAACCCAAGACAGATGCTGCCGCTTGGCAAAGCTCGGCCGTCGCGATCGGATCCGTCCCGTTGTCGCACTCACTTGCCGAGAAATCCGTCTTTGCATAGTTCAATGCCAGGTTCCTCATCAAAGTTGCCATGCTCGTCAGCTTACCCGCATCTTCTGCAAGCAACGATGCTGACAAGTTTGAGACCTCCATCGAATTCCTCTGTTTCCGAGTTTGGAGTGATGAAAAGGTATCCAAGAAGTCGCACTGTCGAGATGCTGCAGGCTCCTGCGGTCGTTCGTGGAAAGGTTTGTGCTTGATTATATGGGAATTTCCGAAAATGGTGGGCGCCAAGAATGGTACCCTAACTATTAGGATCTGTTTATAAGGACCCCTGAACAAGGTACCCTAATTTTCGGAAACCACCATATGGTTCTGCGCTTGGGGCTCAAAGCCAGTTTCTCGAGGACTCCCCCAAAGCGCGGCTCAAACCCCATCCTGCAATTCGAGGCCTGGGGGAAAGGCTAGACGTAGACCATGGTCTCGTGACAGACGCGCGAAATTCAGAAACTTGCAATCAACACCTCCAACCCAGTCAAACCACAAAGTCTCGCTCCTCCAGCTCGACTGGATGGATGGCAGCCTGTGCACAAGCGTCGGACGGAGCGTGAAGATTCAGCTTTGAGACTTCGTGGTCTTGTCAACTCCATAATTCCTCCACTGCACATGAAGCCTGTGCAGCGACAGAGGACTCTAACAGCCGCACTCGCAACATCTTGCAATGGGGCTCCTTGTAGGTAGCTCTTCCATGGTGCAGAAATCAATGCTACATATGCAGAAAGTCCCAAACGGCCCTAACCCGTTCAAGGAAAAGCGAACACCGCAGCAGGCACCCCAGGTGGCCTCTACAGCTGCTATCACCTGATGGCAGCATATGAGCTATAGTCTAAACTCCGTAATGGGGGGTTGTAAGGGACTATATAGGGGACTACTATAGGGGATACTAAGAGGGATAATAGGAGTTTAGACTATAGCTCATATGGCAGCATCCGACCAGCAGTGGCTTAGGGTGTGGGGTTGGTTCAACAAGAACCGTCTACCAAAGCCTGGAAAGCAGATGACGGATTTCGGGTGAAGGATGTAAGTTTAGGATTTTGGGATATCCTCGCATGTCCGAGCCCACATGCAATCAAGTCTGCGACTTCGATGCCAAACAGCCTGTAGCATTCGGCCATGAATCCCTTTCCTCACCTCCCATCAGCAAAAGCCACCAAACGCCACCGCAACACAGGAATACCCCACAAATCTGTGCCTGCGCGGCAATCTTACGGTGGACATCTGCCACTGCACTTATCCCAACTCCACACATCAGTTGAATCGTCACAAAATTAGAGCCAAGCTGCTGCCACACCGCATAGGATCCAGAGGCTCTTTTCACGCGAACGCATGGCTGCAATGCAAAGAGGCAGCTGGAAGGAAAAGGTGGCAAAAAGCTGTTTGATGGCAATGACTGCGGCAAACAACCGATTTGCCATGTCTTTCAAGGAGGCTTCACATGGCACTTCGGCAAAAAACGAGAAACTATCTTCTGCACTCCTTGCAGCCTGGCTCGGGCTTAGGATTTATGTGCAGCATGGAACTTAAGACAGCGTCCACATGCGTCAATAGTCCATCAGATGTCCAGAGTCTACCGAGTCCTGTCTTCTTCTTGTTTCTCGACAAGGGAGTTTCCGAAAATAAGGGACCCTAATATAGTACCCTAAATAGTAGGATCCTTATTATAAGGATCCCCAAAAGAAGGTACCCGAATTTTCGGAAACTCCCATGACAAAGCTTCAGCCCGCCGCAGGGTTAGCGGGGGGGAGGGGGGGTCGGAAGTGACACCTTCGTAAAGGTCCGGAGCGACACGCCTTCCCGGCACACGCCTTCCAAGAAGAACGTAGGTGGGGTTTCCGCCTTGTTCTGCTGCCTGCACAGAACGATGCAATATCCTTCTGGTATCCAATGGTCTACTAGGTGGGGCTTTTCAATCCTTTGAAAAAAATTAGTACATGAGATCCTCTTCAGCCCAATAAGGAAAAATAGAAAATGTCCCAAAGCCTTGCCTACGGTCTAACTGTTGGTGGCCTTTCTCATTCACCGGGCTCGGCAAGTCGAAGACGCCGCTTCCGCGACATGCACGACGTAAATCCAACAGCAAAACAGAAACTCTCGGAGTGATCGAGAAAACATTTCGAAAGCTTGCTTTAATCTGTTACTGGGCCACAGCGTGTGCATGCAATTGCGTGAACTACGTTCAAAGAAGGTGTGCCCCTCCTTTACAGCTGCATCGTGGCCCGAACCGACGGACTGCGTGGAAACCTGTACCATCATGTACCATCCTGCTCCCTTCTGCACAGCCAGCGGGCACGGGCCCGGCTCTTTTCGCTGCGGCGTCGCGCGCGGCGTGTCGCCTCAAACCGTGCTGGGCCGCTCCGCTTCGCCCAGATCCGGGATCGAAGCCGCTCCCATCGAGAGGACCATCTGTTTCAGTGGAATGGGCTCCTGGCTGCGCGCCAGGTGGCCAAAGTACGTCCAAAGCCGGGTCAACCAAGCAACTTGCCACTGAGGACCCGAAAACCGATCACAGTACAGCCTAAGAGCCCTGCGACAGCCCTGTGTGTTCTCTACCCACGTACCGAAGGGATCGAGACTGATGCCCATGAGCAGCGAATTCTTCAAGCCCTCCAGTGACCTGAGTGCACGAACAACTTGGGCTGGAGGGTGTCACTGCAAAATCTTGCGCACAATGCCTTTCGAACTTCTTCGAAGCTCGCGTCCTGCTGAAGATTTGCGTGTGGCAGCAAGACTTCGAAGGCTAAACTGTCCATCTACACATACTCCGGCAACCAGAGGCAAGGGTAAATTGCCTCCTGCCAGCCCTCAAGCCAAACTCCGAGGCTCCTTGCTAATCTCGAGCACTGCATAAAAATCGCGGTCGGCACTTCTCTTTCCCATGGCTCCACTGAGGCTCTAAGAGGTGTTACTGTGCGTCATATGGGTAAACATTCTGAAGCTAGGACCCTTCCAACGGATCCTACACCTTGATCTCAGCTGTGGTCCATGTTATGTGCTATGCACTATGCAAGGGTCATACCTTTACTTCGGTCCACATCAATTCATATACACCAGCATCGAGGAACCGCATGACCGAATGTCTGGCTTTTACTTTCCGACCTCTATTATGGAATTGCATGTGCTCCTTCCTGTGCAGTTGATGAAGATGTGCTATCATGTGGTTGTCCCACGCGCAGCATATTAGACTCATGCGGTAGCAGACCTCAGAAATGTCGCAGCCACATATCTGATCATACATTTGCGAGAGATTGACGCATGATGCACTTGCACACGATGGTTTTCATCACAGCATGACCTCATTGACTCAGACTCGTTCGGTGGCACACCAGGCCTTTGGAGCTTAGCTAACTGTACAAGCCCGAATGCAATGGCACACCACCTGCTCGCTGTCTCAGTCGTACGCAAAACGGGCCTTCATCACTCCCTGCTGGCCAGAAATTGAAGCATCTACAGAAAGAATGTGATGAAATCCAGGTAAAGGTTCCAAGCTGCAAATGCATACATGTCAACGGTGTACTGGTATTGCTTCTCTGAGCCACCGAACCCCGCAACACAGCCCGGTAAAGTCTGAAGGCTTGGTCAACCATGTAGCCTCTGACATCTTGGAATTGTTCTTCACTTCTTGTATTGCGGTCGTCCAGATACAACAAAGTACTTCACACACTTTGGTCGCCTCTACACAGGATCTGCAAAAGCGAGCACCACAGAGAATCGCTCCGGGCGTCGTGGCAAGATGTACTGCATGGAACCCCAGAAGTCGCAGATCGTCTTGCCCTCGAGCTCTGGCGATTGAAGCTGAAAGCCAGCGCGAATCCCATGCTTCCAATCATAGCGTGCTGCCCCCGAAAACACCACAAGGCTGCGGCGCCGAATTAGCAGGTCCAAGTCCTGGTCTGTCCATGATTTCGATTCGGCTTCCAAGCCGGTCCGCGGCTGGGCATCCGACGGCGTAAAGGTCAGCACGGCGCCGCTAAGAATGCCAAGCAAGAAGACATGGGGGCCGTCAGCAACGGGATCTACATGCGGATGGATCATGAAGAAAGAGTCTGTTCGATGGTTGATGGTGCAGTCTCGCAAGGGCCCGAGCTTGTAGCCTCTCTCTTCTTGCAGGCGCTTCACAAGCTTGCCGATCATTGGAGGCAGCTTCTTCACATCCAGATCTGGACCGTAACCCCAGGGCGCTACGATTCCCTTCTGAGCACCGCGCGATTCAGGCCGGCCAGTGACCCTTCGAGAGCGATTCTTCCCATAGTCTTCTTGCAGCCCGGCAGCATCCACCATCGAAACCGATATCTTCTCCTCTTCAAAGCAGAACCCATGCTCTTCCACGACAGCTCGAAGCTCTCGAGCCAAAGCTTCTTCTTCTGCCTCATCCAGGAAATTGGCTTCCACCCGCAACCCGGGATTCTCTGCCTCCGTGATGACTTCGCCTTTCATGTTTCGGACCCGCTGCAAGTCATCCGCTGTTCCAGGACGAAGGGCTGAGGGGCTCCCCGTCAGCACCAGCTTCTGCGCGGCTCGTGAGTAGTGAGCGCGCTTGACGCCAAAGTCTTGCCATAAAGCTGTTGGGGACATGCTTTCACCAACGCCGGTGTTCCAGCCCCAGCAATGGACACGAGAGTAACCAGGAGTTTGTTGCTGCTCTCGTCTGCCGCCGACCAACATCCCTGCCGCAGGTGCCGCGATGGTGAGGAGCCGGTGCCCCTTCATTGATGGAAACTACAAACAGGATGTCACAAAGCTCTAATCAATGTTCGTGACACGTGTGGCAAAAACTCCTGCACAAGATATGGTTCCATGCGACAGAAGAGATATCCTGCCAGCCATCTTTGAGCCTAGGTTTCTGATGTAGCTCGTGTTGGACGCACAGACTGATGACCCAAGAAGCCAGGTTCAATGTACGACAGATTGGCTCGGCCCATCTTGGCTTGAAGATCAAACCGCCCTCAATCCCTAAAATGCCTATGACAAATTCTCGAGCGTCTCGGAGGGGTGCAGTGCTGCCTGGCTCTGCCCTCTTTTCGTCGTCGTTGTTAAGCCACGGCTCTGGGCTCGGTGGCCTATCGCTCAGGCGCCTGCGACTTGCCCCTGGTTGTCGCGATTCAAGCCAAAATAATCCGGCTCTGTAAGAGCTCTCTGGGGCAGTTGCAGACATCTACACTTGAGACTGTGCGAGTTGTGCTGTGCCATGTCACTCAAGTGGCTGGCCTCAGTGCGAGAGAGGTGCACAGCATCCATACTGCCAGCAAAAAGCCGTGTGCAATCAAGATCTGACACCGAGAACCCTGCTGCAACGGCTCTTTTCCTGCCTTTGCTGACCTGGAGATCATCGTAGTGGCGCGCGCATTGAAGGCACAAAGATTGCAATCATAAGCTGCAATCCGCTCCCAAGCCCTCCGTCACCACCCCCATGCTTGCCTCGCATGTTCGGGTCGAGGACTTGGATGACCTGCTGTTTCTGCTTCATTCGCAGGGAACTGCAGCGGCAAGCGCGTGGCCACCGAGGTCCCTGCCGCTTTGGCAGCATGGCCCGGCCCAGCAAGGCCTCAGCGATCGTCACCGCGGCCCGCAGCCGGCGTGCCAAGCGTCGATCGCTGGCGTCCTGGCCAGGTGGGTGCAGAGTCCACTCTGTTGCATCGCTGCCAGAAGCGCGTTCCCTCCCGGCCTGGCGGGCACGCTTCTTTGCAGCTTTCCCGGAAAAACATACATCTCCAGCAGCCACCAGTCGATGGACTTCACGTGCCTGTGCAAATCATGCATTTATATTTTGCAGGTATCTTCTGCAGAAAATAATGGGCCCATCAAGAGCAAAGTCGCCCTGTCACTTGGTGCAAGAACAGAAATCCAAGACCTGATCTTGTGCGAGTCAGGGCCAGGCATGCCGCCGAAGGGCACTTCGGCGAGAGCGCTGAAATGCCCGTGGCTGCGCTGACGTCGTTTGCATCCATTCCTCGCGCTTAGCTCCAGCTGCAAAGCAGAGATCCCGGCGATCCCTCTATTACACTCTCATGTGCAAGCTCAATACGGACTCCAACATGTTGATGTCATCGCATGTTTTCGTTATGGACACTTTGGTTTTTGAAGACTCAACAGTTTAAAGAAGCTTCAATACATCAGCTTGACCGAAGACAACTCAAGCCAACTCGCCAAACCCCAAAACTGCTCGGAACCCCCTTAACTCCCATCTCTGACCCTACAAGCCCTGCAGGAACTCCTACACTCAACAAACCCTTCATTTTGGGAACAACCCCAATTCGCAGCACCCTACACTATAGACCCTAAGCCCTAAACTATACACCCTAAACCTTAAACTGCTCCCCCCCCCCTCCCCCCTCCCAAAACAGAAAAAGAAGGCCGGGGCGGGTCCATCCAGAGCGCTTTCACCCGCGGCCAGCCGCCTGCCTCGGCCTCGGCTGCTCGGCGCCTGGCCAGAAGACCGGACCGACCCTAACGGCCCTTAAAGGCCCTACTAGGATCCCTGAAAGGATACTTTAAAGGCCCTAAACCCAACTCGGATCCCCGAAAGGAAACCCAGAGGGTTGAAGGGTTTTGCTTTTAATGAGGATCCTGCCTTCTAGAGTTCCATGTAGTAAAGATCCTACCATTCACATTGGGAGTCTGGAGGGGCCATGACTCAAAGGAGGGTTCGGAGTTTAAGTCTGAGGTTGGGCGCTTTCGAAACTAGAGGTTGGGACAACTTTGGGCTTACTTCGGGCGTGGGATCTAGGGGTCGGGCTGAGCAGAAGCATTGGTTCTTTTCTTTTGGATTCAAAGCTGCTCTCGGGTTCAGGTCAGGTTTCTCGGTCTTGGCTCTCGGGATGTGTGGGGTTTGTGGAGTTCGACCCCGCGAGCCCGGGGCCACACCTCCAGCTCAGAGTCTCTGCCAAGCTGTGGAGCGTAGGCGACTCTAAGCTGCGGCCGATCCAGCGACGAGCATCCAGAGTCACCTTCTCGGGTCCAAAAACAGGCACCAACCAAAGTACCGTTGAGGCCGCTACAAACGGTGAAAACCTTAGTAGTTGTAACATGCCTGTGTTGTGGGTCATCTTTGTGGACTCGCTAACTCATGCAGCTACACCCACGCTACCTGCATCCGACATAACCTGCGTTTTGGCAAGTGGCCACGAAGCTCACCGTGCAGCTTTTGGAAAGTGCAGCTGCTGCTGCGGGTAGCCTGCATCAGATCAGTGGAGCACCCAAGCTCAATGTTTTGAGTTTAGCCCTGCGGATTCAGCTTTGAAGTGCGTGAAACTTTTTAAACATGGATTTTTGTCGTGTGCGGGATCAAAATCTTCGACCCCTAGCTTCTATTCGTCAAGCTTTTAGCTAGTACTTGGGACTGGTGCTTGGCAAGAGGAAAATCTTCGGTCGGCGCCTATGCTCCAACGCCTCAGGTACCTCCGACAGCGCCGCACGCAATCGCTGCAGCAAGACCTCTGCCTGCCGAGCCCAGCCCTCCCTCTCTGACTCTCTGAGGCATCCCTATGTCAGTTGCATCGTGGCACAAGGCCTGTTCGCGGCACCGTACGCTGCTGGAACGGACAAGAACTCCGCCAATCTGGCAACGAGCCTGCAGATACCCTTATAACGTGCTCAAGGCATCCTGGCTCTGTAGCTTCCCAGCGCTGGGAACAGATTCCAAAGTCCGAGCAACCCTGTGATGCTGAGCAGAGGCCCTTCTGGATGTCCAGACCGAACCTCCACAGCAAAAGCCACAGCAAAATCCACAAGTGGACCCAGCACGGCCAAAGCCTGGCTTGACCGATGGCTTTACCTTGACAGGGGCCACTTAGTCACGTAGTCTCTTCAAAAGCACAGCATAGCACAGCCAAACCCCGCCCCACTAAACTACCCGCATTTCATCGAGGTCCGCACGGCTCTGGCTTTGGCTGCCGGGCCTCAGCTCGCAGACCCAGCGGCCCCCTACCTGTTCCTTCACCCTCGCCTGCCGCTCAAACGCTTAACCCTGACACTTATTCCTGCACTCTGCTGCTCGCCGCTTCTGCTGAATCGTCCCTTGACCCTATGCACATCTTCGGGATCCTTGCGGACGTGACGAAGCCGATGCTTCTTCGTGCCCTGCACAGCAGACGCCCAAGCAAGTGGTCGCATAACTCTGCTTGCCTTCCCTGAGGAAAAACAACTGAAACTCGACTTGTTGCAGCACAGCCGCCACATGGCGAGTCATACACGGTTGGAACAGTGCCATGCAATCGTCCTATCTAGTGACCTGGTGTCTCTCCTGGTAATCTGTACAGAAGAATGCTCACCTCTCTAGGCATGCTCAGATGCATGCATCTATATGCAATCAACCTGAACTCGATATCTTAACGAGTCCATGGCTTGGGCTCATCATTTATGAATTACAACGCCTCTTCCTGTGGATAGAGAGCGCCACCTAAGCAGATTACTTTTTCTTCACGGGCTTCAGAACCTTGAAGGAGCACATCAAGGTCTCGTCGACCGTCATCACTGCACCTGCATTGTCGAACTCACCGCAATAGTTAGGAGCAGAGAAAATCGTGATCAACTGTCGTTTCGCGAAGAACTCATAGCCATCCTCCACCACCTGATGTGCTCGAACCACCAAGTCAAGATCATGCTGGCGGAGGAATCCAGCGACGATGTCAGGACCGAAGGTGAAGGAGACGCCACGATCATTTTCGGCCCAGCCTTTCAGGTCTGCATTGGGATCCGCCCACAAGAAGTCGCAAACCAATCCGGTGTCCGGAACGTCTGTCGGTCGGGCGATCCTGTTGATCTGCCTGAGGTCCGTGAGTTCCGGAGAAAGCCCCCCGTGGACACAGAAGATCTTTTCATCGATCAGAGCCGCGAAGGGGAGTGTGTTGAATACTTCGCAAAAGAGCTTCCACATCTTGATGTTGTACCGCCTCTTGCAATCGTCGTAAAAGCCATAGATGCGAGTGATGGAGGCACATTCGTGATTTCCCCTCAGCATGAAGAAATTCTCGGGATGCTTGATCTTGTAAACCAGAAGTAAAATGATCACCTCCAAGGACTGCTTTCCGCGATCGACGTAGTCTCCCAAGAAAAGGTAATTGGTGTTGGGTGGGAAGCCCGTGTACTCAAAGAGTCGCAGCAGATCGTTGTACTGACCATGGATGTCGCCCACAATCGACAGCGGGGCCTCAAGCTCAAGCAAGCAATTCTGACGCAGGAAGATCTCCTTCGCGACGTTACAAATTGACCTCACCTCGGATTCTGTGGGCAATTTCACCTTCGATGTGTGCCCGTGGCCTTTGGACTCCAACATGTAAGCAATGATGTCATCCAGCTCTTGCTCCCCTAGGGGAGCCTGGTCCTGTTTGAGCATCGCCGCTCGTTTCGTCGCCCACCGAGAAGCGGAAACAACTTGAGCCGGCTGCGAAGAGTGAAACCCATGAAGCGATCCACTCGCTCTTCTCCCCTGTTGCACGCCTTCTTCATGCATGGAAGGCACATCAGACTCTATGCGACCAACCCTGACAATCATGAGCTGGGCACGAAAGAGCCTCCACGAACTCAATCAGCTCGTGACGCAGCTGCTTGGACAGACCTGCTCAGAGGGCCACCGAAAAGTCCTGCAACTCTGCCCATTCCCAGTCATGGAGCAGTCTCTACGTGTTGCGAGCAGCTCTGGATAAACCAAACCCCGCCTACAGAGCAAAGATCAGAAGAAACCCTGCTGACGGCGAAGGAAATGCCTTCTATGGCCGTCCGGCGCCATCCTTTTGGCAGGACCTCCCGAAGCTATGCGAGTACTGCATGACAAGGTGTTCCGGCTTGTCCACGGCAAGCAGCTGCACTCCCGCAGCTTTGATACTGCCATGACGGCACGTCATGGCAGAAGCGCAGAATGCGACGGGAGAAACCCACGCAATTATATTCCACAAAAGAGGCGTGGTTCATGGTTCATGCAGGCCTCCAGGATGCCGTGAAGTCTTGCCAAGGCTTCATTCAAGTTGCTCGGCATGCGCCTGCTCAGGCAGGCCGCCCGCACGCAAAGACAGAAAGAGCGAGCGGGCGGAGAGGGAAAGTGGGGTCCGCGATGTGTTTGCGCCATCGCCCGCTGAACCATTGCCTAATCCCCAGCCCCTGTACCGTATACCCATACTAATAACACCCGGATCTAGAGATGCTAAACATGTATAGCATAGCAGCATAAGGCAAAACAGAGCGCAGCCAAACCACCGCCAAGCCGAACCCGTGGTCTCAGCACAAACAGGGCCTGGGCCCCGGCTTGCCGGGCTCGCGCTCGGGCGCAATGTCGGTGAATCCTCCAAGCAATCTCTGCGCCGGATCTTGGACAGGTAGGCTTCTTTAGGCTTTGTTGGTACCGCGGGCTCAGGGGCTTTGGGGGCCTAGGAGTTTGAAGGGCTTAGGAGCAGTTCCGGGGCCCGGGGTTGAGGGTTTTCAATTCATTGCCATCCGCGACAACCTCTGCAAGTCGCAACCGCCGTAAGTCCCGTGCCTTCACCTTCCAGGTGTGTCCTCGGCGTCCCCATGGCCTGGAGAGCTCGGGCTCTTGGGCCCTACTTGGACGTCACAGGAAGAGAAGGTCGTTTTCCTTTGGGCCCCCTTTTTGGCCCTGTCCCCACCTCTTCGGGCCGATGGAGCGAAACGCCGGGTTGACGTTGGTGTCGCCTCGACACCAGGAGAGTCTCAGAGTCTCAGAGACGAGACCTGTGGTCACCGGCTGGGGTCCCGTCCGTGGTAGCGAAGGGATCTAATCCCTATCGCCTGAGCACGAAAACCCAGGATCACACAAACCTGCACTTCGAGAAGACCACTGGACCGGAACCGCTGAGATGAGGGCTATCACGATCACTATCATCGTCAACTGAGCATTGCGCTCTGGAGCCGCACAGTGACAGAAGACAGAAGTCGTCGCTACGACGGGACTTGGCCCCAGACTATCAGGATCACTATCGCTATCTCGGTTCAGGCCTCAGGGAATCTGAAGAGTCCGTCCCACCACTGCTAGAGAAGGAGCTGCTGGGACTGAAGTGCCAGGCAGAGGTAGCTGTGGGGCGGGAGCTGAATCATGAAAAGAACCTGCGCAACAGGCTGCGCAGGGGAGTTAGGGAGGGTCACGAATCGCACACTGGCCTGGGAGATCTGAGTAGCAGATGTCATGTCTGATGGATGTCTGGAGGACACAGCCTCAGCAACCGAAGCCATCTTTTGGCCGGCTACATCCAGCAGACCCTGCATGGTCACAGCAGTTTTCCTTCGGCAGGTGCCTCTGGGGAAGTCGTGGCCGGCAAGGCCTGCAGTCAGAGAGCCCAAGTGGGGCACTTGTCGGTGGTGGCACGGCACAGCCGGTCGGTGCGTGGGATCTACACTCCATCCTGAAAGACTGACTAAGGCTGCAAAGCATGTGGAGTAGGCTTCGACTCTTTATCTGTGCAAGCATGCGGTGTGTTGCTATCCTACCCGTGTTTGGATAGAAAGAGACTGCTTTTGCAGGATTTCAGTTAGCTGTTTGCGACAAGAACCGACGGCGTGGTGTGCAATAAATCCCGTCGTGCTTTGCGAGTCAGCAACATTTCACTTCTCTATAGCCCGAAACTCTAAAACTCGTGCAACACCCCTTTAAACCCTTAGCAAACCGCAAAACCTTCTGGGTTTAAGGGACCGTTAAATAGCTTTGCAGACTGGAAAGCCGTAGGCACCTGTGGTGCCGAGGCGGCAGCAATTTGCAGGGAGCTGGCTGATTTGGGCCAAAATGTGAGAGATTGTGAGAGCACATCATTCATCAGAATGTCACAGAGCACTATGTACACGCGATAACAAAAGAATAACTGACTAAGTAAATTTTTTGTGTATATATATATATATAGTACTACATAGTTATTCATTTATGTTTTCTGTACATGTATGCTGTATGCTATATGCATATACGCACACGTACACACACACATGTGCAGAGAGGGAGTGTGTGTGTGTGTGTGGGGGTGCGTGTGAAGCTGCGCAGTCATGCATAATATGCTGAAGTCAAGCAACGTCAATGAACAGACTACCCAATTGCAGTCTTCCCCACCTCAGTACTTCTGAATGAACCATTTGCACGGTGACGCAGGGCCCCCTCCCCCGCTTTGACTAGACTATAACGTCGTCATTACAACTTGGTTTTGGGTGAGCTGGTAAACGACAACTCCCGCAAGCTCCATAGAGCCAGCTAGTTTTCGTAGCAACCTCATACATAGCAGTAATTCACAAGGAAAGGATAGACACTTTCTAGAATGTCCACGACGACTGCCTGCCAAATACAACAATGTCATGCGGCTGCATTACCTTGCACCGTATCATGTGGCGGCAGTACCATGCGTGTCCTTCGAATGCCACACTGATGCTGCATCATGACACAAGATGCGGTGCTGCTCTGGTTTGTGCAAACAGAAGCTCAAATCATTGTGCTCCGTGAGCATCCCTTCAAGAAGTCCGCGCGTAGGAGAGTTAGAACCGCTCAAGGTTACGGTTACGTGTGGGCCCACAGATGCTCGATCCATCCTGGCAGCCATGTCAGCACCTTATTCACTCCAAAACTAGAGATGCTGAACCTCCAAACTCTTCAAACCCAAGATACACTCAAACACCAGACACACGCCTCTAGTAGCTAGGGATTGTGGTTTCTGTATCGGGTTGGGATAGCTGGCAAACGCAAACCCTGCGCGTTTTCCAGTCAGAAGCAGACCATGAGTGTTCACTCCGACCGCGCCTGACGTGGACACGATGACTCACGAATGGGCGGCACTACCAGTAGCATTATGTGGACGGAAACACTGCTACGACAATAAAATCAAGTAGAGGAGCGTGTTCCAAGGGTGACTGGCCATCATCTCAATGTGTCACAGCAAGCAGACGCTTCGAAGCCTTCTTTGCTTGCGACTCACCGTCGCCCTCGGAGTCGGAGTCCTGCCCGAGAAGCAGTTTGGCCTGGCGTCACGAAGTCGCCCCAAAGTACCCCGAACGACAACTCAAAGATGTCCACAGACACAGAAGAGTCTGGCAAAATCAGAGAGGCAGGAGAGCCTGCGTGATGACAAAGCCGCTGACGTTTGTAACCTTGGCAGAAGTTTCCTCGCGGAAACCGAATTCCTTGTATCGGCTGTGACTCAGGTCCCGACACTGGGACCTTCGCACCGATCCAAGACCTCAGCTCGAGCTCCATGATCTGCCCACGAAAAAAGGTCCCTGCCGCGACTTCGGCGCATGGTCGCGTGTCTCCCCTGTGCCAAGGTCGGGGCACTTAGTGCCTGCTCCGGCCCAAGCGTCCGCAGCAAGTCCTGCAGACTCTCAAGCATCGCTGGAGCGTTGCCGCCACGCGAGACGTCCCGGATCGGTCCTTGGCTTTGTCCGTCAACGTAAGCTTCGACAGCTTTGCCTGGCGATCGAGATCGGAGCTTCTAGCTCTTTTTAGGTTCAGGGTTTAGGCTGCTAAAGAGCTTTATGAGCGGTTGGCAATTGAAAAGGTGCCCTGCAGCCTGAAGCATGACCAAACGGGAGCTTCAGAAGAAATGGGCAAGCCAAAATTAAATGAATTTAATGTAAGGAACGCCCCTCAACCCTATAGCACGGCTAATTGTAAGAAACCTCCACATCTCGTCAACAACAGGATGCCCTCAAAAGCCTGCAAACCTCTCCCAAAATAAACCTACACAACCCTCAGCGTAAGTATCCTCAGAGGCCGAGCACAAAGCCTCGACGACGTTCTTGTACTTTTGGATCTCCTGGCCATGGCTTGGGGTTCAGGCTGGTTCAGGGTTTCCGGCAATAGGGTTTAGGTGTCTAGGGTCTAGGATTTAGGATCTAGGTGGTTTAGGGTTCAGAATGTGGTGATTGGGATGAGTTAGCGTCTGGGGCTTCGATTTTATGTTAGGGTTCAGTGGCCTCCATTACATTTGAAAGGCTTAGGGGTTTACTCCCTGCCTGCATCGGGCAACGAGTAGACTGTCAGACTCGGCTAGCAGACTCAATCTCGACGCGAGCACTTGAAGACAATTCCAACACAGATTCTCTTAAAGGCAGTTCCCTGGCCCGCTCTTAAACCCAGCATTACATGTACAGTTCACATGATGAAAATGCACTGGGACGTGCATCGAGCTCGGTGGTCTTCTTTTCGCCTCTTCAGGTCTACAGTGGCTTCCTTGGTGCCTAAGTGCCAAGTGTCCATTCAACATCCGTCGTCAAGGACACCACGATGCTTCCGACGGACAGGGTGGCGAAAACTGAGAGTGGCGAGGCCCGCAACATGTGCATGACGATAATATCTACAAAGCATGCAAAAGCCAAGGACAGTATTGCCATCTCAACAGAGAATAGCAAGCCAGTCTGAAAGTTCCGACAAATATGTTACCTTCTCGGACTACATCTCACATTGCACTCATCGCCCGCGGCCTCCTGCTGCTCTCGCCTGTCCCTTCCAGGTACTTGCATGCACAACCCTCAGCCCTTAAAGACTTTTAAGCCCCCAAATACAAGTACTCATGATCATGGCAATGCTCATAGCAGGCTGAAGATTCATAATAGTCATGGAATTCAGACTGGCAGCTGTACTGTATAACTAGACCCTCGAAGCAAGGCTGGATGCCCGTTGGCGCACGACATCATGCTCCCTCAACACGACTCAAGCTGCGCTGAAGCGACAAAGGAACCGTTGCACCCTGGTTCACGCCGTTGCAGAGTTGTTCGCTTGATCGCTGGCGTGTTCGTGTGTGCTGTCGCAGAGACCGTGGGAGCTGAGTCCAGTGGCCTGGCCTGGCTTCCTTGTGCATCTTCTCGGCTTTGGCCCAAGCCTGCAAGGGCGGATCTGAATCGTGTCACGCGAGCTCGAGACGATCCTGATTAGCGTGGGATCAGAAAGCTCCTGCCTTGCACGCTTCGCGATCGACCTCCAACCAGAGGCAGATGGCAGTCAAGCTCGGCCACTGACAATCTCAGGCTGAGAGCGGAAGGGCAGACCTTGTTCAAGGTCTGAATGTTCTCTCGTTTGATGGATTTGACTTCCAGGCCACCGCCATCCATACCTGCATGAAAGGTTCATGGTCGAATCCGTCTTCACGTCTTTACGGCTCAGGTCAATTGGGATTGGACACCGTGGGCAGTACTTTGACTGCATCTCAGCATACAACCTCCTACAGTCTAATCCCCACCCTTCTTCACAGCGGAGCTGGTATGACTCATGTACCTCATGTAAGGTGGGGACGAATCTCCACTTCCCAGCGTCCCTTGGATGCTGGCCGAGGGTCCTGCCGGAAATTTACCAAACATAAGCTCTTGGAAAAACGAGGCCTCGAAGTTATGTCTAGCAGCCGCAATCACAACAAGGCTTACTTCCTGCATATTCAGCTTTCCCCGCTAATAAAACCCTAAACCCCGAACCCTGGGGTTGCATGCCTCCCGTTCCACCACACCACGGCGGCCGTTAAGTTGTGGGGCCCTTTGGAGACCTCGGAGAGCAAAAACCCAGCCCGGAATCGAAGTGCCCAGGTTCCAAGCCGTCCAAATAGAGTGTGCAGTCATGTCAGGAATCTTTCGATTCGTTGGCACACCTTGCGCTACTTCCAGTTTTACCTGTAGATACCTCCTTGTATATATAAGTGTGCAGATACATAACTAAATATGTAACATGTCTAAACAAGTAAAAAAACAAAAGCGCAAGCGCCGAAATACACAACTCAATAAGTGTATAAATATGTCAGACACTGAATATATGAATATATGACCGCTGCATGCAAGTGTACAAATCCGCCGACCCTGGCGGCGTGTTGGATGGGTCTCGATGGGCTTGGAGGTGTTAACCTCCCTTTTTCCCTCCTCCCACACCAAAATCCCGCACACCGGGCGCCCCCCGGGGGGGGGGGGTACCCCATGGCTGTTTGCAAGGAGCACCCAAGCCCCCAAAAGCACCACACCACAGCCCATTGGGTTCAAATCAGTTCACTTAGGAGACCACCAATTTTTTTTCTACTTTTTCCTGCCTCTCCTCCCCCTCCCCGCCCGCCTCCCCTCCCCCCCTCCCCCTGTGCCGATACACCCACAAGGAAATGCTCCTTGTTAGGAGGTGTATGACCAGTTTATTCCCTAAGGATCAAAGGGCAGCGCCCTGCACACGGACAGTAGTTGTTTTGTCTTGCTACGCAAGGAGAGCTTGTCTTGTCTCAATATGGTAAAACCACTGTGAGCCAATGGGCAGCGGAATGTATATGTATGAGCATGCAGCCATTGCTGTAGGTACCTGTTAGAGCTACCCCTTTAGAGGTTTACGCAATCAAACAGACACTAATTTTCTTTTACCGGAAGCATGGCCGCACATTCACACATATACTATTATGCCCACTGTCACAGTTGCGGAGTTTGGACTCATGATAAAAACAGCATATTGTTTATGCTAGGTATAGCACTGAAGTACACTGTTGAGGTCACTCCTTTTGCACACACTCATGCATGTTGGTCAGAGAGATCATCTGTACAAGATCAGGTCTGGTAATGTTCTTCTACCGAATTATGCAGCCCTTCATTGTGCTCTTGTTAGAGCTTTGTGAGTCACTGTTGTGAAACTCTGAGAATTTTCTTATCTCAGATTCGGATCCAGGTTTGGATCATAGGCTCGAGCATAGACGTTCGGATGTGGTTCATCCGGGTCTGAGTGATCTTCTTCGGAACTTGAAAAGATTCCGAGTAATCTGTTCTCAGCCCTGGTGAAGGCGGCGTCTGCAGTTTCATATCCATGGTTGGATGTAGTCGCCTTTGGCTCGGCCTTTGGTGCAGCTTGTGAGCTGATTGGAGTTGCCTCGGCTTTAGCCGGTTGTGGCTGCTTAGCCTTTGCCCGTTCGGCCCTTCTTCTTTCAAGCTGTCCGTCTGAGGACGCCCATGATCTTTCACTTTCATCTCCTGAGGGAGATAAGGCGTGGGCATGAAGGCTGTTCCAGTACTGTGCTGCAGAAGGAGTTAGGACTTCTTCATGGTCAGATTCTGACTGGTCTTCCTCAGAGCTTTGGTCGTCAAAAAGTGTCTCAAGGACATTTTTGAGGTTTTTATGTCTTCGCTCTATCTCTAGTGAGGAATGGACCAATTGATTGAAGACTGTTTTTGAGTCCTTCAGTGCTGTTAGAAGGATTTCCACTCTGGATAGAGTATCTTGGATGGTGTCAAGATGATCCTTTCTTTCCTCCTTGTCTCTCTGGATAGAGTTTCGCAATGATTGTGCGATTCTGAGGAGGTCGAGATATTTCTGAATAGGCATAGTTGCCGTATGATTGTCATGTATGACAGTTGTTTCGTCGCTGCTTAAGTTCCTGAATAGGACTTCCACGACTGGTAGAAACTCCGTGCTCCACGGTTCCTCTTCATCATATGTTTCTACATGCTGTTGCACGCGTTGCGTAAACTGCTCGGCTGCTTCTACCGTTGCATCGATAGAGCTGACGTGTCTTACTGCCATGTTTCGGCACATAGTGTTAATGGCCTGGCCTTGATTGGCTTCGCCAAGTGCAGCGTCTGCATGGTTGCAGAGTCCACTGTTATGGGCTTCTCTAGCTGCTTTTCGTTGAATGCGCCGATTTTGACCTCCTCTTCTGGTAGGACCTTTTGGTCTCGGAGGATCTGAAGGTACTGTTCCTTTCGCCTTTGGCGGAGGAGTCTTAGGTGGAGGTGACATGTTTGCCTTGTTAGGCACTGGTGGCATTGCCTTGGGCACTGACGACGATGAGGCACTTGCGAGTGCAGATGTACCTCTGGCTCTTGCCGAGGATCCCTTAGGGATTGATGTATAGGTAATCTGCATGGCTTCTTCGGCCATTTGTGAATGCAATGCATCACTGAATAATTGCCTCATATGAGGAGTAGTACTTGCATCGTCATAGGTCTGAAACCGTTCAATGTCCCTTTCGGTGCCACGTGGTCGTGTATCACCTCTTTGAAAAGGATCGTTCCTGCGAATCTCCGCAACTTGTACTGCCTGGAGGCAGGTTTTACACAGCACCTTCTTTGAAACATCTTTTGCTTGCTCGAGCTGGTAACAGCTGTCTGAAAGATGGTAGACTTCGCTTCGGGAAGTGTGCCACACAGGTCGCAAATCCGTTGTTTCTCCAGAATTGACCCTGTTGGGTCCTAAAGGTTCACGCGTCTGTGGTTCATCCTCGGGTTCGAGGAATGGTGGTGGTCGTTTCGCTGCTGCTTTTGCATTTGATTGCTGGCGGTCCATACATCTGATGGGAGCCCTGGTGAGCTGCTTCCACATCCAGTGTAGGCCCATTAGCAGCAGAAACACATTCCACACGATGCTGAAGACGGAGAAGTCTTGCTCACTGGTTAGTGAGTTTGGAAGTGAAGGTTCATCAGTCTTGATAGACTCTGCGTTTGCACCGCCTTGATTACGGTGTCCGAACCAGCCCGACAACCCTGCTGCTGTGGCAGCTGTTCTGAGTGCCTTGCCGCTCGGAGCAGACGGTGGGCGTGATGCCTTCCTTCTTCTCCTCCGGCTGGAGGATTCGTCCTCTTGTTCGTCTTCATCTCTTTGAGCAGACATCAGGTTTGATGTTTCTCGTTCGTGCTCTTCAATATCACTCTTTGTTGGAGAGTGTTCTTCTTCTTGTTGTTCCTCAAGTGTGTCCAGTTCCTCTAAAGACATGTTGAGCTTGTCAACAATATTGGTTCTTTGAGGCCTGGACCTTGATCTTGGTAGATCTTGTTGTGAAGAGGACGATGATGCCTGGCTCCTTCTTGGAGGAGGGCCTTTAGGCTCACTGGGACGTTCAGGCCTCGGCCTTTCCCAGAATCTTCCATATCTGTGATAGCTACCTTGTGGTTGCTGTTTGTCGTACCAGCTGTTGCCGGATGAATACACAAATGAGTCTTTGTAATCCCAGTATTCAGCATTACGCTGCTTGTAAGCCTGTCGCTTGTTAGCGATCTTCTGAACCTGGGCATCTGACCGGTTGTGTTTCCCTTTTGTAAGGATTGGTTGTATCGTGAAGCCCAAAGGGCTGTGCCAATCTTTGTCAGAGGGACTCAACCACAGGTCAAGGTTAGAAAAAGTTGAATAGTACTGCTTGACTGAGACAAACAGACGGATATCGATATCCCTGTTTCTGTTCATGTCCTGCCACATATCTGAGACTCGTTCCCAGTATGTTCTTTCGGCGGCAGGTGTAGCATCTCTTGGACTAGGTGACGCCGTGTGCGGCGTTTTGCTCCAGTCAAGGATATAACTGTTGATACAGTCGAGGTCAGCAACTTTCTTCGCCGGTTCCGGCGGTAGACGATCTGCACGTGCCAGTCTGTGCTGGTCAGAGTTGTTCAAGCAAAGGTGTCGCACTTGTGAGTGCCTTCCTGCTATTCTGTTGAATGCTGCAAGTTTCTTCTCCAGGTATAGAGAAAACAAACCGTTTCGCGGGTGAACGTCTCCACCTTTTAAGGTGAGCCTCGACGCAATATTATTGAGATCCCCCGCAATTACATCCGGTTTGAAAGGGAGAACCTCGTTGAGGAACGCGTTCACCAGTTCGCGCCTCTGTTCTTCCTTATGAGTCATGTATGAGTTGAAATGGACGATCGCGATGGTGATGACCTTGTAAGGCCCTTTTGTACACCACATCTCGTCAAGATCGTTTGATGCTTCTTGTGAGAAGATCTCTGCGTATGACTCAAAGTCTTCCTCTGGTGGCTCATCACCCTCGACATGGCCGTTCCATTCACAGAGAACCGGCGCAGGGTCGAGGTCCGACATTGTCAGACACGCCTCTGGTGAGAGGTAAGAGCCATCAGTGGGTCCATCCTTGTCAGGATTTTTACCCTTGAGAGGGTCATATCCGATAATCTTCATGAACTCATCTCTCGTCATCCTCTGGCCGGAATATGGGTGGACCCATTCTTTTGCCTCCGGGATGGTACTGTGGTACCCAAAGGTGAGGCGGCATACCGCACCGTGGCATGCCCACAGTCGCTTCTTGGGACCACCAGCCTTAGGCTTCATTGTTCGGTGACGGTAAAAGTGGTGGACGAGAGAGATGTCTGTGGTTGGG